CAAGGAGCAGGGAAACCCGCTGGGAGGCTACTGCAGTGATCCAGGCAGAGAACACTGGCTCAGACTGGTCAGAGGGTGTGGGGTGGCAGTGGAGATGGAGAGAAGCAAACAGATTCAGGATCAATGATTAGATGTTTGGATGGACAGGTGAGTGGCTGGATGGGTAGATGAGCGTGGAATGCTTCTCTCCTTCCTTGTTCCAATCAGGATTTCTCTCTGAGACCCTAAAGGCTCCCAGCGTTTCACCTCACCAAACCTTATATCATCCTGATGTCAGGGCAGGGTGGAAAAGTCACCTCAGAAAAGTGTGGGGTGGAACCAGATTTGGATCCTGGGATGTTAGACTCCAAAGACTCAGCTTCCCAGCGTGCCTGTGGCCTCTAGGAACTTTAGGGAACAGAGTTCTGGGCCTGGAGGGTTGAGCTGGGCATTGCCTCCTCTTCTTGGAAGCCAAGGTGGTGCTCTTGTGCTTCCAGTGCTATAGGAGGCCATGACCCATGAAGATGCTGAAGAACACAGTTCATAGATGGTCAGATAGGTAGCCCAGAGGGAGGGAGGGCACGCTGCAGGGCAGGGCCCAGCATTGCCTTCCCAGCAGCCAGGCTGACAGGCTGGATCCCAAACACCAACCCATTCCCTTGTTCTCTTGCCTGGCTCACCTCGGCCACGGGGCAGATCTTGGAAATATCCCACATGGCACAGGTATCCCGTTGTGGGCACATGAGGAGGGTATCTCCACGGGCTCAGATCTCCTACCTTTGAGCAAAGGGTGTCCATCCTAGGGTGGCACTATTCTCAACCAGCCAGTTAACCAGCCCACCCAGCCCACCCCCCAACTCCCAGTCCCAGCCACTCTCGCTGGTATGTTGGTGCCCATGTCAACCAGGCATAAAGACCAGGGTGCTCTCCAGGGTGGCAGGCAGCAGTCAGGCTGTGTAGTAGCCTGCAGGGATGACATAATGCTGGTGAGCCCTTACCTCTTTACTCCCAGCCCCCACCCTCTGCACCGGACTCACCTAGCCAGACAAAGTAGATGGCCACCTACTTCCCAAAGTACTCTCCTAGACGGTCCAGGGGCTGGTAGCTGTGCCAGCATCCCCAGCGGGCCCAGTATAACAACTGACTAAGGCTGAGGTCTGCACCAGGCACCTGGTATCCAGGCAGTTGTTCAAAGGGGCCCTAGAGGGTCAAAGAAACGGAGGGCTGCAGGGAAGTCCCAGAATTCTCTCCTGATTCCCGGACAGTGGAAGAGGCCTGAGCTCATGTTATCCCCCTCCTCACGCAGTGGGAAGGCTGAAGTGAAGACTCGCTCCGTTCCTAGACCCGCAATGCCCATCTCTGCGCGTTTCAGCTTCCCATAGGCTGTGCGGGCTAGGATCTCTGTCACTGCCAGGGAGAATCCTGGGTCAGCTCCACCTCCTTGAGGTCCCACCTGGACCCTTCCTCAGGCAGCTGTCTCACCACTCGGTGCCTCTGCGTGTTGGAGAAGTAGGAGTCGTGGGAATCGCTGCCCAGGAATCTGAGAGCAGAGCAGGGGTCAGAAGCCGAGTCCTCTGCCCTATCCGAGACCTAACACAACCGAAGGCAGAGTCTCTCTCTAGTTGGGACAGAGGAATAAGACGCGCCAGCTGCTAAAGTCAGAGAGCCCATTTACCCACAAAAGTCAGCCTGCGCTATGTTCCAGCCAGGTGAGCATCCACCGGGGATTGAAAGAGTGGGAATCAGGGACCGGTAGCCGTTTGGACAGGGCCTGGACCCCAGCGTACGGAAAGGACAGGCCAGGGACCTAAAGTGAGTTAGTCGCGCAGGAGTTGCCTCCCAGACAAACCAAGGAAAAGCAAACGATCCTTGATTAGACTAAGTCTTGCAGTTGGCGACCCGCCCCTCTCCTGAAGGCCCTGCCCACCCCGAGGCCCCGCCCCGTCCTCTCTCACGGCTTGGAGCAGCGGAAACTGCACGCGTAAAACCCAGCGGCTTGTTGGGGACATGTCGCTGCGGAGGGTTGTGCAGGCCACGTGCCGCAGCAGCTCGGCGTAGCTGTCGGAGTCCGGGTTGAGTTAGGCCTGGGGAACTAGGGTAGGGTCATCAGTGCCTGGGGAGACTCCGCCCGCGGCTGACATCACCGCGGCCCACCCCTCCCACCTGCAGGCGCGCGCAGGCTCAGCTCAGCGAAGTGCATGGCGCGGGTGCGGCCCTCGGCGGGACCGTGCTCCTGGGGGCCAGGATCCCAGGGTGGGCCAGAGACCGGAGCCCCTCCCCTCGCTATCCCCGCCCGGGTTGACAGATCCCCGTCCGCACGCGGGTCCTTACCTTCATAAGCATTTTTGACACGCGTTTCCTCGTTTGCAATTCAAACGAGGAGAGGACCAGCACACCCCCCCCCCCCACATTAGGGGTAGACGCTGAGCAGGCCGGAGTCATAGAGTGTGGCTGCCGTTTCTCATTTATCAGGCCCTAGGCTGAGCGCTTTATACACTTCGCCCGTTTAATCATCGCAGCCCGGTTTTGGGGCCGACGCTACGGTAAAGCCCATTTAGCGGATGAGCTGCTGGAATCGTTCGCGCAGGTCACAGAGCTGGTTAGTGGAGCCGCGTTCTGGCTTCGGGACGGAGCCCACGCAGCCCCCGCCGCGCTCACTTCCTCGAGAAGAAGCGGGACTGCGCAGGTTCCGCGGAAACTTGCCGCTCACGCCGCCGCGCGGGTCGCAGCTTCTCCAGCAGGAGCTCTTAGTCAGTCTCTTCGCCGCGGCGGGAGGGTAGCTAGGAATTGTCTGACCCACCCTGTCCACTTCCATCCTGGGTAGGAAGCGGGGGGCAGGGAGGGGCAGGGGGTTGTCTGGATTTGTCAGTCCCACTAAAGCCAAAATGAAATCAAATGCGGGGTGGAGGGGTGAGTGGAGTGCTTCCCTTTGGGGCTTAACCGAATGGTGGAATTTCTGGCACCAAAACTGGGAGAAGGCAACTTCCAGACTTCCCTGTGGCCTTTGACACTCCACAGAAATGGCCTCTGTCTGCTAGGCCCTGAGAGGGGCTTTATCTGGAGCCCAGACACTCTCCCTGGACAACACGCACAGGACCCGCCACATAATGCGTGCTGTCCAGAATTTCAAGATGGCACCAGCAGTCCATTAAATCAGGTGCCGGGCCCTGTGGACTGCTCAGGGGGGAGGCCCAGGAAGCTGGCCGGGGTCCCTACGGGTCTACACACCCTCCCTTCTCACTCACTCTCCGCGAGACCCTGCCCAGAGACCACACTGCAGGCGCGGACACCAGCTGTCAGAAGTATGGCTCTGCAGTTCTCTTCCCTTGGGATTCCAGTTCTGCCCTTAGAAGGAGGCCCTTGGCTGGTAGCCCACTCAGTACTAAAGTGGCACTGGGGCTTTGCTTGGAGGAGCTGAGAAAACAGTGCCGGGATGCTGAGGGCACTCCAAGTCCCCGCCCCCCTGTCCTCCTCACTTTGTTCTTTCCCCAGGAGATGGGGAAGGAAATTGCTCCCCCCTTGGTTGGGGGTGAAGTGGGTGCTGGATGCTTCTCTGACTGGAGCAGTGCTAACCAGATGACTGGCCTGCCCTGCTGCGATGATCTCAGCTATTTCTCCAGAGCAGCCTCTGGCTTTTAGCAGAGCTGGTGCCCAAGAAGGATGCAGAAACTTCCTTTCTGGGGGAGTTTTAAGCCCAGAGATAATTGGCTGGGACGTGGGGTCGCTGGTACTCACAGGCATGCGTAGCAGGAGGGTCACATTCAGGCCAAGGCCGCCTTCACTGGGTCACACTCCTACACTTTGCTGCTGCCCGGTGAGGTAAGGTCAACCAGAACTAAGAACAGAGGGGACCGTGCTAAAGGCCGGCTTCCTGGAGGCAGATCTGAAGGCCGCAGCCGGAAGGTCTATGGCCTACAGGCTGTGCCACCATGAGCTTGGGGTCCTGCCCAGGGACATCCCTTCTCTGGGATATGGGGTAAGCTGACGCCTCAACTCTGAACCAGAATTGGGGGTAAGAAGGTGCTGAGGTCAGTCCTTTAGGCCGTGGAAGGGTCGACAAGCCTACAGGCAGTGCCCAAGGTAGACAAACATGGCCTTGTCACGCAGGCAATCAGTGTGCTTGGGAGTGTGAGCAGGGGGTATGTATGAGCCTCCTGTGTGTGCCAGGAAGTGGGGGCAGTGTTTTAGGACAAGTGCTGGTATGTGTGCACATACGATCACATGTGTGTTGGATGTACAGAAGCCAATGCTGCCTTTTCAAGAGGGGGCTCCAAGGGCCAGCTGGCTTTGGGGGTCACTATACCGAGGCCCTTAGGGTCTACTAATACAGGCTTTTGTCATCTGGGTCAGACTCAGGCCAGGCCTCAGCCCAGGGGTCCATCTGTGGAGCCAGTTGGGGTATCATAAGGGGCTGTCAGAAAGTGTAAGGGCCCACTTTGTCAGCACCCTCCATCACCCACACACCAGTGTCTCTAGCTGATGGGGCAGGGGTGAGACACAAGAATAGGCAAGTTTACTCACCTTCCTGCTCCTCCCTTGCTGGCTTCCCACAGGGCAGAGCTGCCTAACAGGTCAACTCACTCCCTGACCCCCGCCTGGTCCAGTCCCTGACCCTGCCCAGTGATGCTTTCTGACTCCCAGGCAGGCGAGGCCCCTGTCCTAAGCCTCACCCGACAACTTTATGATCAAGGGCACTGCAGAGCGAGGGGCTGACCTCTTGGACATGCAAGTGGACATTTCCCCGCCTCCCCTGCAGCTCCATGTGACCATGTGACTATGTGTTGGTCAATGCAACGTGAGCAGAAATGTGACACACCGCCCTAGGCCAGGTCCACAGAAACCTGGGTGACATTCCACTTGTACTCATTATTCTGCTGACTGAATGTTGATGCCCCAGGGAAAACTGGGAAGCCGGTGTTGAAGATCTGAGCCTGGGTCTCTGAATCAGTGCATGAGGCAGAGTCCCCAGAGCCACCTTCACTTCCACGTGAGATGAGACGTAAGCAAGAAAAAAAAGCCACTGAGATTTCAGGGTTTATCTGGTACATCAGATGGTGTTAATGCAACAAATATAGGCTCTTGATTGAAGTCACTTGAGGTCCAGGGCCCGGCTGAGATAACCCCTCTCCCCAGTCACCCTCCTTGGGTGCTGCAGAAGGGATGGGCAGCAGGAGGTTGGGGGAGATACTTGAGTCCTGGGGCCCTGCCCATGCAGCTCCTCAGTTTCCAGAGCCTAGAGCCCCAGGGCCGAGGAAGAAGGGCAGGGAGCCTCAGAGGGCGTTGTGCCCCGCCTCACTGCCACGGATTCTGCGAGGAAAGCGCTGCTGGGCCAGGAGGCTTCGCAGGCCACCGTCCTCCCTGACCAGTCCTCAGGATGAGATCAATACTCTGCCCCAGCCCTGGGCCCTGGGTCCTGCCCTCTTCCCTAGGTCACCTGAGGGTCAGGAGTAGGGATCACAGGTGCCTACTCATGATGCCACCACGCCTCAGCTGGGGGTATTGTCTGGAGTGTTGGGGAGTAGGCCAGCTGCCACCTGGTCCTGGTGCCACAGCTGCTCCGCCAGGCCATTGAGCACGTGAGCAATGTCAGCCAGCCCAGCCCGCCCATCCAGCGTGCGCCCGTCTGCCAGGCGCCGCCCGGGCACACTCTTCACCCGCAGGAGGGGCAGTTCCCAGGCCTGCCGGAAGGCCGTGAGCTCACGCTCAGGCACGTCCGTGTGCATGTACTGGTCAAATCTGGAGGAGGGTCAAGGAGCCTGGCCAGGCGCCTCTGCTAACCACCCCATCAAGCGCAGCCTGTCCCTCTGCTCTGGAGCCCCACAGCCAGGGGCTGAAGGATGCCCTGCTGCAGTCTTTAAGATAAAGCCCATGGGGCTGGACCCCACAGCTGGGTAGAGGCAGGGTCCGTGCCTTGCCAAGTGTGGCCTCTGACAGTCCCAGGGGACACCCAAAGGATACTTGGAGCCGATGACCATTCTGACGACACCAGGGGCCTCACCTGCTATACGGGCCAGCTGTCCAGGAAGGTCTTCAAAGGAGGCTCGGTCAGTGAAAGAGAAGAGGAAGAGGAAAGCATCTGTCTTCTCCTTGCAAGCCTGGGGACGAAGAGACTGATTCAAGGAACCACGGCACCAGAACCCTGTCCGCTACAGGGCCCTGAGAAGTCTTAGCATGATCCCTCCTTTAGCAGACTGGGAAACTGAGTCCCAGAGCAGGGAGTGGCTGGTTCCAGGGTAGAGCTCAGGCTGGAACTCAGTCCCCAATGCCAGCTCAGAGCTCTCCCAGCCAGAGCAGCACCCTCAGCGCATTCATACCCAATTCTGCCTCCTGCAAACCAGGCAGCCTGGGCTCAGTCACTTGGACTCAGAAGCCCACCTCAGACAACTGGCCCCTCGAGGACCCACCCAGGCCCACCTGCCTGCTCACCGGTAGCATGTGGTCGAACTTTTTGAGCGCAGACTCCCCGCAGTCCCAGAACTCAAAACGGAACATGACGACACGGTTGCTGGCCTGCAGCTTGGCTGGCCAAAACACCACAGTAGTCTGGATGCCTGGGGAGGCAGGGTCAGCCACTTAGCACAGGAGAGGCAGAGGTGGAGAGGGGTGGGGGGCCAGGAAGGGATAGGAAGAATTCGTCCCTGCCCTGGTGGGTCCTCAATCTGATGGGGACGGCACAGTCCCAGACCTGGAAAAATTCTGTCTGATGGGGGAAACTGATCTGCCCTAGAGGAGCTCGTAGTCCAACCAGGGAGATCCAGCTCTTGCCCCAGCCATGACAAAGCAGTATCACTCACATGTACAAGGGGACACAAAGGTCCCGGGATACTGAAGGATGTTGCAACGTGATGGTCAATCAGCACCCAGTGGAAGGAAACAAGAAGGGAAGATTAGTGTTTCCTGAGCAAGCACCAACCTTGTGCCGGCTCAGTGCTAGGCATGTTTCCACCACTGTCTCTTATACCACATCCCCAAGAATCTCATGGGATTGGTACCATGATCCCTCTTGGAAGGAGGAGCCAACATAGGCTCAGAGAGGTGAAGGGATTTGCCAAGGTTGCAGAGTACATGGTGGTGCTGATTAAAACATGTGCGATGCAGGAAGTCTTTTCCCCACCCCAGAGAAGGGCCCCAAGGATGGACTCACCAGGGGTCTCGTGGTGTACCACGGGCACCTCTAGGCCGGCCAGCTTGGCCACCAGTGCTGTCTTGCCCACACCACTCTTCCCAGACACGAAGATCTTGTAGCTGGCCGTGTCAATGGCCACAGACGGGGGCAGCACTGGTCGTTCGAGCAGCCCTGGGGCAAGGACGGAACCAGGTGGGGTCAGGGATCAACCTGCACTTGCCCTGGGTTGGACAAACTCATCTCTAAGGGCTTTTGCAGTGCTAACCACCCAAGGTTCTCTATGCTTGTTACAGAGGCCTGGGACATAGGCAGTGTCCCTGGATGAGAAGCTCCGCTGAGAACACGTGTGCTCTGTGAGCTGGGCCAAGGGCCACAGGCGGGGGCAGCACTGGTCGTTCGAGCAGCCCTGGGGCAAGGACGGAACCAGGTGGGGTCAGGGATCAACCTGCACTTGCCCTGGGTTGGACAAACTCATCTCTAAGGGCTTTTGCAGTGCTAACCACCCAAGGTTCTCTATGCTTGTTACAGAGGCCTGGGACATAGGCAGTGTCCCTGGATGAGAAACTCCGCTGAGAACATGTGTGCTCTGTGAGCTGGGCCAGGGCCAACTCCAAATAATACCAAATTATTTTTTTTGCATCTGATGCATGAGATGGTTTTTACTGATACTATTATCACGTGTTCTAGGTTTCTCACATGTAAAAGGAAGGTTTTTCAAAATTCCTCAGTGGAGAAATATCAACAAAAGTATTCTCGATTACTATAAACTCCTTAGAATCAATATATCAAAATCTTTATGAATGTTTTTAATTTAAAACTTGCAAAAAACTGTAGGCTTAGGACCTCAAAGTCCTAAGTTGGGGGTTGCCCTCTCATTTTCTGGTCTTAAGCCTTCTGGCACTTTGTCCTGGACTCTTGTAGCCGATGCCAGGCCCCTCTACTGATGCCAGGGCCCTCTGCTGGACTGTCAGCCTGCCCTGTCCCAGGGGAGTTGGCTTCATCCTGGGGAACATGATTGTCTTATCTTGGAGAAGGCAGGATATGAAAGAGGCTTGTCTCTAGACTCACTAGTCAACAAGTCTATAAGATGTGCTGTTGAGGTTAAACTGGAGTCTGTTTTGAAAAGTGCCCAGCAGAGGGCCTGGCACCGGGTGAGGGCTCAATCAGCAGCCTCTCTGGTGACGGTAGTTCCTGGCAGGGTTTTGCCTGTTTCCATGTTCCTGGCTCTGATGATGGAATTATCTCTAAGGAGATTTGGGGGTGAAGGCCCCAGGGGTAGAGCTTCCAGGGGTCCCCAAATGCAGTGCAGCAGGCCCTCACTGCCTTGCTTCCCAGGGAGCAACAGGTGACACTGTTCTCACCCAAGAACGACAGCTGACAGGCTGAGGAAGGGCGAGAGCACTTACCGAACACCCGCCGGCGGCTTTTGCGCAGGATGCAGGCCAGGTACTCCTTACCCTCGGCGCTTTCATGCCAGTCTGGGACAATCACCGAGCCCAGAGAGGGTGGTCTGGCCATGGCTGGGCACCCCGGTGGGGTAGGGAGATGGCAGAATGCTGAGGGCAGGGGAAGGGAGAGCGTGACTGTCCCAAGCTGAATCTGTGATCCCTTTTAACCTGCCCTCCGACTCTCCCGTGGAGCCCCAGCTCCGTTCTCGGGTGATGGAGCAGTTACGGGGAGCCCTACCCTCCTTATTATCCCGATTAGCATTTTGGGAGTCCCAGCTCCCTTTCACTGTCTTGGGGGGCGGGGGGAGGTTACATATCCCCGTCTTCCTCTTATTACCCAGAAGGTGCACTTCCACAGTGCCTTCGGGCAGCCATGCAATTACTACCCCGAGGGCATCTGCACAGCCCTGCTCTCCCTACGCACCTCTGGGAGGGGTCACATAGCCCTGCTTTTCCTCTACTTCCTGGGTACCTACTCCTGGGGCCATCCAGCCCTCACCATCAGCAGTCCCCGCGGACAAACAGTCCCGGGTGGAGACCATCCCTTTAAAAGTCCGCTTCGCGTACACGCCGCGCACCCCGCGGGGCCCGCTTCCGCCCGGCGGGTGCTCGGCGTTGGCGCCCGCGCGCGCGGCCAGGCCAGGAGCGGGTGCATGAGGCGCATGTGCGGAGTGGGTTGTCATGGAGACGCCGGGGGCGGGGTTGGGTTCCTAAGTTCGGAGATGGGTTGGTCTCTCTTGCATCTGCAGCTACCACCACGCAGGTCACTAGACAGGTCCTTCCCTTCTGGACCATGGTCCCCCTGTGCTCAGTCCGAGCCCCAGTCTTTCTTCAAAACGTAATCAAATCCCCCTTCTCCAGGAGCCTTCCCTGCCCCTCTGTGCCTGTTCCTTCTTCTATAAAGTGGAGGTAAAATACTGTTACCTCCTAGGGTTCTTTACAGCAGTGCCCTGTATACAGTGGTGTTCAATAAGTATAATTGTTATTATTATCGTTATCATCATCATCATCATCATCATTACTCCTCCTCCTCCTCCTCCTCCTCCTCCTCCGCAATTAATTGCTCAGAGGACCTCGAGATGAGTTAAACACCTCCGGCTTCTCAGATGGGGAAAAAGCAGCTCAGAGAGGTCAAGGGACTCGCTCAAGGTCTTAAAAATGAGTCAGAGGCCCATTGGATTGTACCTTCCAGTCATTTATTGATAGACTGATTCATCTCATATTATTCACCAAATAATTACTGAGCACCTACTATATGCCCGGCCTGGTCTAGCTGCTGGGAATACAATGATGAACAAGAAGCCTCTGCCCTCATAGAGCTGACATTTCGGCACTGAGGCCATGAGACCCCTCACTGTTCCAACGATGGGCACTGGGCCTGTTACCTAGGAGGCGTGTGATCTAGTTGTCTATTACACTTAATTGTTATCAGTGTCCTCTCACAATGCCTTCAGGTGTAGAGCATATCACTATTGTGTAAGGAATAACCTGAGTTAACCTTTACCGAAAGCCACCTGAGTGCAAGATGGTGGGGTCTTTGCAGAGGTTACTTCATTTCATTCTGTAAACAAACCTGTGCAGGAAATATTATCTCTCTTTTCTTTTACAGATAAGGAAGCTCAGAAACAGCACGATTGTCTGAGATCATGCCACACCGCTGGTCAGTGGGAAAACTAGACTCAGAACCCAGGGTTTCTGGGCTCTGAAGTATGCATCTGTGTCATCTGATTGGGTCTTGTGCTTTTAAAGCTTTGCCCCCACCTAGAGGGCTGCTCCTAGTAAAGTTGGAAGCAGCCAGAGGACCCTAAACTCACAAATCATGGGGGCCTGTTATGTCGAAGGGGGCCGAGGACACAAGGATGTATGAGACAAGAAGCTTGCCCCCAACTTGCTTCCACCGCAGCTAGGCAGAAATACAACAAATGAATAACCGCTTCTGCAAGAAGCTGTGCGTGAAACCACTGCCTGCATCCTTACTGCATCTGCCCGAGTCAGAGTTAGTGGCAGGGCTCAGATCTGACTTACCTCTGGGTTTCCAGACTTCACAGCCAGCCCTGCGCTGGCTTGGCTTGTGGAGGACTCAGGGAGAGCGTGAGGAAATGAAGCAACGTGGCAGAATGAGCTTTGCCAGTTAACCTGGAGGCCAGATAACAAGTGAAGTCCTCTTGGGCACAGAGAGGGAAGCTGGTGGTCAGAGGAGCTGACCAGAGAATTAGGGGAATCGGTCTTCAATGTCCTTAGGAGATGGTGGAGAGGACACTTCAGTGAGCACCAGGAGCCCGTTCAAAACCTGGATTCTTGGGCTCTGTCCCCCAGAGATTCTGCTCAGGGTGTCGGACGGGTCTAAGATCCTGCATGTTTAACACTGGGTGGTTCAGCAGGTGGGGTCTGCATCAGTCTGCTGGACTGCCGTAGCACATTACAACAGACTAGGTGGCTTAAACAACAGAAGTTTATTTTCTCCCAGTTCTGGAAGCTGGAAGTCCAAAATCAAGGTGCCAGCAGGGCTGGTTTGCAGGGAGGCCTCTCCTCCTGACTTGGGGCTAGTTTTCTTCTCACGTGTCCTCTGGCCTTTACTCTGTGTACACTCACTCTTGGTGTCTCTTTCTCTTACAACGACACTGGTAATATTGGGTTAGGGCGCCACCCTCATGACTTCATTAAACGTTAATTACTTCCTTAAAGGCCCTGTCTCCAAATAAGTCACATTGAGGATTAGGTCTTTAATATATGGATTTGGGTGGGGGCCACAATTCAGTCCATAACAGGCTCCACAGACCTCACTTAAACACTGCTGGAAGCCAGTCGACTACTGGGGCCTGTGTGGTCAGAACTGTTTCAGAAAGATGCTTGTGAACCATCTTGGTCTAGTGAGTGCCCCTCGCCTGTACCCCCTTGACCACTAGATTGTGCATCCCCCTAAGCAAGTTGGTTCTCCTCTTAGGGCCTCAGGTGAAGCAGGTGGCACACCTACCCAAAGCTCCTTCTAGTGTAGAACCTTCTGATTAGCCCATTCTTTTCTTCATGGTTCAGTCTTCTCTCGCACACTGACTGAGCACCTCCTGGACAAGGCCCCACAAGGCCTCGAGAGGAGGATTTATCAAGGGACACAGTCACCAGCCTCCAGGAGTAGACGGCCCAGGTGGGCAGACTCTCGCAGAGGCCTGAGTACCTGAAGGACAGGGTCAGAGGGCAGAGGCAAAGGGCAGGGCACCTAGGAAAGGTCAATGGAGACGGAAGTGGTCAGATCTGCATTTTCATCTCCTGGACCCTGCAGCTCCGTGAGGATAGGGGCCTTGACCTTTTGTTGTTACATCCTCTATTTCCTAGAGCTGCAGTAAAAAGGTACCACCGACTAGGTGGCTTCAACAACAGAAATGTATTCTTAGTTCTGGAGGTTAGAAATCCAAGATAGAGGTGTTGGTGGGGTCGATTCCTCCTGAGGGTTGTGAGGGAAGGTTCCAGGCCTCTCTCTCTGGCTTGCAGGCAGCCAACTTACCCCTGTCTTTCCATCACCTTCTCTCTGTATGAGTCTGTGTCCAAATTTCCTCTTGTAATCACACCAGTCCTACTGGTTAGGGCCCATCCTCATTTTACTTTAATCACCTCAGTAAAGAACCTATCTACAAATATGATCACATTCTGAGGTACTGGGGGTTAGGACTCCAACAGGTGAATTTTATTAGGGGGTGGGGGCACAATTTAGCCCATAATAATCCCTACTACCTAGAAATATTTGACATATAATGAAAACTTTGACTGGCTATGGCTGCAGCTTGGAGAATGGCCTGTAGAGGGCGAGCCTGGAAGAAAGACCAGTAACGAGGCAGGGTGAACATTCCAGGCACGAGTGGACAGGGACACATATTTGTCAAATGTTTATGAGCACTTCCTGTGCCGGGCGAGATGCTGGGAAGACAGCGAACGAGGTACAGACCTTGCCCTTGGGTATTCCACACTCTGGTGGGATTAAAATCAAAGAACTAGGCAACCACACTTAGAAGCAGGGCAGTAGGGTAGAGAGAAGGGACAGACTAAAAATGTCCAGATTCCATTTAAATATATGATTTGGGGCTGGAGCTGCCAAATCACCCCCAGAGAGTTCTTTTGAGGCTGAGCTGTACCAGGCCCGGGCTGGGTGGCAAGGTTGGTGTCCTTGGCCTGGACAGCCTCATGTGTCACTCCTCTGCTTAAAACTTCCTTAATGGCTTCCCACGGCTCCCCTCCTTCACACTGGCCTTCCTCTCCTCCCTAACTTGTCGGGTTCATGCTGTTCTCGGGGACTTCGTTCTCTCTACACAGAATGGTTTCCCCCCATCTTCCCACGGCTGCTGCTTCTTCCATTCAGGTCTCAGCTGAAATGTCATCTCCTCAGAAAGACCTTCTCTGTGAGCCCAAATCCATCACCTGTTGTCATATCCCATTTTTATTGCCTTCATGGTACTCAGTGGAATGGTCTTAATCATTCACATATTTGTCTTTCCCTTCTCCCCCACTCCCACTGAAATGTAAGCTCCACAAGGCAGGGACAGTGCCTGGCACACAGTAGGTACTATGCATTCACTTAATGCAGGAATGGGTGCTGGCCAGACACCTTCCTCCCCAACCCCCAGACCCAGTCAGGCGCCAGAGGCTGATTTTTCTCTTTATGTATTCATCTCCTCTCTTCGTTGCCGCTGCCTTAGTTCTAATGCCCAGGCCCAGGCCCTGCCTCTCATCCTCCATCTCCAATCTGTTCTCCAGTTCTGCTTTGTCCACTCCAGTCATGCTGACCTTCTCAAGGTTCCAGGAGGACCTGTCATCACACTCAGATCTCTGTGCTTTTGCACAAGCTGTTCCCTCTACTAGCGTACCCTTTTCCTTTCTTCCTCCAGCACTGGCCGTAATCGCCCCTATCCTTGGTTCTTGGGGTTCCCATGCACTTTATTTGACTTCTAATTGGAGCAAGTATAAGTTTTTACCTTTGCTGACTCAGATGTTTCAGAAACAGAGCTTTGTTTCCTCTGAGTCAATTTAATCTCTGCCATGCAGGTATTTTAATCTAGTAATTTTCTGGTAAACTTACATTTTTTTTTACAGCTTAAACACTCTCCTCAAGGTTGTTTCTTTTCATCTCCTCCTCCTCTGGTTCTGGGGCTCATGTTGGAGGGGTGCTAGCCCAAAAGCCAGGAAAGCATGGTGGCGGGGTGGGGTAGCACACACTTCTTGGGCGTCATCTCTCCTGGGCCTTCGTGGGCTTCTTGTTCCAGAAACTCTCCTCTATACCTCTGCCTATGGCCCCATCCGTGCTGGCCTCTCTCCTCCCACCATGGATTCTGGTCATGAGCCTCTTTCCCAGCTATGTCAGAGGGGATGACTTCTGGTCATCAAATCCACTGGTTACTCTGCACTGTCCTCAGGCCAGAACGCCGGCCCCTCTGGGCACGCCAGATCTCCCAGAGCCCTACTGCTCTCTTTCTGGAGCAAGGCACCTCTTACCGACTGCCAGAGGCCAGACCTGGACTCCACCTATCTGGGATCCCCAGGAAGGCTCTATCCTCACCTGCCCCTGGTCTCAGTCTAGCAGGGTGAGGTCAAGGCAAGAAGACCAACTTCTTAGCTCTGCAGCTTCCAGAACAGCCATCCTGCCCCGGCTGGTTGTG